GACACGGTCGGGCCTAGCCCAGAGACATGGACAGATGCTACGACCCAGTGAGTCACACTGCCTGCCCTGAAGCCAGCTTGTGCCCCTGTGTCTACCGAAGGCCCCTCCCCTGCTTCTGCTTGTCTTCAGATTGCCTCAGTCTGCCCGTCTGTCCTATCTGCAAACTTTGCCCAGAAAGGAGCCTCTTCCTGGCTTGAGGAGGAGTCCAGTGACTGCTGAGGCTTTGGCACCGGGAGGAGGCGGGCTCAGACTCAGCTGCCACCTTCTCTGTCTGAAACCCAGGGTCTGGATGGCATCCCCGACTATGATGACTTTGAATTCAGCCCCTCCATTGTGGAGCCCAAGGATCCAGCCCCAGAGACAGGTCAGTGAGTCCTTAGCCTCGGGTGTCCCGGAGCCTGGAGGAGTGTGAGCGTGGACCCTCTGCCTGAGGGATGGGCTTGGAGATCCTGGCTGAGCAAGGCCTCTCTGTTTGCAGCTGATGGCCCCTATCTGGTGATTGTGGAGCAGCCCAAGCAGGTGAGTGACCACAGAGGTGTCCCATAGCTTCAGCTCTGGGGACAAGTGGGGGAACTGTAACTGACAGGGGAAGCCACTTTGATTGGATGGTTTGTTGCTGTTGTGGGGAGGAGTTCAGGAGACACACTGTTGGTCATTATGGTCAGCGGGGGTGGGGGGACTGTCTCTCCTGACCACAATGTCTCTGTCATGGAACCCTCAGCGGGGCTTCAGATTTCGATACGGCTGTGAGGGCCCCTCCCATGGAGGCCTACCAGGTGCCTCCAGTGAGAAGGGCCGGAAGACCTACCCTACTGTCAAGGTGAGCTTGGATGCTGCTGGAGGGCTGGCTGGGGGATAGTGTCCAGTGTGCCACTACTGACCGTCCTTTGCCATTCTCAGATCTGTAACTATGAGGGACCAGCCAAGATTGAGGTGGACCTGGTAACACACAGTGACCCACCTCGTGCGCATGCCCACAGTCTGGTGGGCAAGCAGTGCTCAGAGCTGGGGGTCTGCGCTGTGTCTGTAGGACCCAAGGACAGTACTGCTCAGTAGGTGCCCCCTGGCCCTGGCCCCCAGAGGGATGTTCATTGCCTGCCAGTCTTGGGTCCCAGCCCCCCCCCCCCCCCCCCCCCCCCCCCCC